AAATCGTATCTTCCTAGTCGACATAAGATAATAATTTCAGTTCTCATCAGGGCAAAGTTTTGATAGAACATGATTTGTCCAACACTAATTATGCATCATAGATTGAAACCGTCAGCAAAACATCCTACTAACTTCTCTAATTGGCACTGAAGGAGTGACAGTTAACTGGATGCCTAGTTCTCGCAGAAAGGCACAACAACAGCTTACATTCAAAACAGTTATTACAAGTTCGAATTTTTTTTGATTGGCATTCTGTAAAGTAGCTACGCTGTTTTTCGAATGCAACAGAAAACCGACCATGATGGCAATGAAATGGCGAACAGAGTCCTTTAGGTTACCGACGCCATAGAACAACGTGCTGATCGTTTCAGTAAACAGCGCGTCGTAGCTGTGATGTTGTTTTGTGAACCTAAAAGGAAAATCGGAATCACAAGTTCAAAAAGGCAATAGAATAGATTAAGACTTCTTCAAATTGATGGTTAATCTCCCCATATTGCCGAACTCTTTGACTGGGATTACAAGAAGTCCTATTGACCAAATTGACTTGAAGGGTATGGACTAGGGCGGAATAAAAAATAACGTGATGAGGGCAGAACAAAGTACAATAGCGAACAAAGAATGTTTAGAAAAACGTTAGGGCTTTGACGTAAGCGGATGAAATCTCGCGGAAGCTAAGGAACCAAAATGAGTTTATTATATCGAAATTTCACTCCCAACTGACACATTTGAAAAACAGCTCATGAAGGGAAACCTCCATTTGCGAATAAAAGGATGCTCTATGGCTACGGCCAGGAAATGATAGAAGCCATAATACCGATGGATTTTTGGTCTTATCCTAGAACTATGTGCACGTCTTAGGACTTTGCAACTTTATTGAAAAAATTTCCTTATGGCAGATTGTGCCTCACACCCTTTCCACAACAAAACGAAAACACTATTTTTCCTCCCAACTCAGTTACCTATCCGTCATCCATCCTGTTTTTCTGACAACTCCATCCCACAAGCATCATCTACTCGATTGAGAAACTAATTCATAATGTTGCCTCTCAGCACTGTGTATTGAATACTTAAACATGATAGTATAGGCGCTTCACCAAAGCTGCAATTAACTGATATTAATCATGGCTAAGTAACGTTTCAAATAGATACACCCCCATTATTACCACCAGAAAGCCCGCTTGAATAAATGTTGGCGTAGTCCCATGATTTGGGGACGAATACAGACTTTTCCAACTCACCATAGTAGAGGAGTCCACAGTTCAGGTAGGTGTCCACCCATGCCGACCAAGGATACCTCGTGAGTGTGGAAGAAATTAATAAATACTAGATGGAGCCAATCACTTCCACATCACGGCACGAACACAGCAGGCACCTTCCTGAATCAGCAATGCATGAGCGACAACGATGTAATCAGTGAAGCTAACCGAGCTCGACGCTTCCATCTTGCACTGTGTTATCTAGCCGTAATCAAACAGAACGCGACCCCCTCCGAAAAAAATGGAAAATAAGGACGAACCAGACAAATGCCAATCATTTGCCGTACTAGGATGTGCTACGAATACGGTCTCATAGACCACTTAAGCTGCTGCTGTTCCTATCATTACGAAATGGGACTATTTGAGGACTGACGGGAATAGCGACAAAAGGTTGATTACACATAGT